CCCCCCCCCCCAGGCGACCCTACCAGCTGGGCCTGCGGCACCCTAGGTGTTGAAGCCCAGCTGCAACAGGGCCCCCGTCTCCACCAGCCCCAGGTCTCTGAGACACATGTTCAGAAAGCAACCAGGGGCCGCCCCTTCCAGCTCAGCCTTTCCGGACCCAGTCAAAGACAGGACTCCTGAGTAACAGCTGCAGGGAGGGTGGGGGTCCCCTCCCCTCCCCTCCCCTGTCAACCCCTCAGAGATAAACACAACAGATGGGCAAAAGTGGAGGAGGTCCGCAGAGAAGGGTCAGCAGCAATGCTCAGGAAAGGGTGGGCAATGCCACCCCAATTCAAATCGCTTTAGGTCTGTTGCTGGTAAAATGGAGATAATTCCAGTTTTGTCTGGCCCATGGGATTATTTTAAGCCCGGAAATCACTTTATAGACCGTGATAAGTGAAAAGATAACATCTGGGTGCGCTTTTCCTTTGCGGGGGGAGTGGGTGGAGGTTGCAGTGATCCTGAGATAGCAAGGCTTGGGTGAATGTTGGAAAACCTGGATTACGGAGGGGGCACAAACACAGGTGAATGTGTTAAGAAAGTACGGGTGGGTGCACAGACTGGGGGTGTTCGAGTCAGAGGGGGCTGCCAGGGGTACTGGGCAGGCATGTGCATGTGTGGAGGGAGTACCTGAGGGCACTGACCCAGATTACTTAAGGTGGGGGGCAGTGAGAGGGGCCCAGACTTGGCTGTGAGAAAAGCCAGCGAGGGGGTAGGAACAAGCACAGATGTAAGTGAGGGACGGTGAGTTTGGGGTCACAGGCTCAGGTGTTGAGTGTGGAGGTGCAGGCCGAGGTGTGGTGGCGCGGGGACCGGGTGTGTGTGTGTGTGAGGACGCCCTGTGGTGTGGGGCTGGCATAGAGGGGAAGTCTCAAACGACGTGTCGGTGGGTGTTCATGAGCGGGGGAGCGGTATCAGGTGTGTGAGGGGGAATATAAGTGTGGGCACAGAGTCAGGTGCGTGTAGGGGTGCAGAGTTAACTGTGCGGGGCGCCTGGGGGCGCGGCCCCAGGGGTGTGGGGGATGTCAGCGAGGCGCACAGTCTCAGGTGTATGAGGGGAAATGTCAACGAGAAGGGATGTGGTGTCAGGTATGTGTGGGCTGACGGAGAGAGGCTCCGATCCGGCTGTGGAAGCCCCAAGGGGGCACCAGACTAGCGGTGTTGGGGGCGGGGGGGGGGGAGGCTTTAACCTCTCCCAGTCCCCGCGATGCTGCTGTCACGCCCCGCCTCGTCCGCCCCCGCCCCGGGCCCATGACAGCAATGGGCCTCGCCCTAGGTCGGCCCGAGGGGCGCGGGCCCCCTCGACGCCTGCGCCGCCCCGCGCCCCGCGTGCCCCCTCACCAACTGGGACGTGTCACTGCCGCCACTGCCGCCGCCGCCACCTCCGACCGCCACAGCCCCGCCTCGCGCACCCTCCGCGCGCGCCGCGGGAGGGGTCCACGCCGTACTCCGATTGGCTGCGTGCTGGCCAACCATCTCTGGAGACAGCTGAGATTGGTAGACATGAAGCGGACGGGCAGCTCCTGAAGCCAATCATTGAGGAGAAGAGGCGGGGCTATCTGGAGACACAGTGGGTCCCCAGGGTGGTCCTGCTGGGCGCGAGGAGCTGGGAGGCTAGGGCCTGGAGGCGGGCGAAGATTGGAGCTTTGGGAGAAGACGGGCATCCCTGGTGACCAATCGCTGAGGGGTAAGGGCGGGGCTCCGAAGAAGCTGGCGCTACTGGTGCAAGAGGAACGGAGGGCGTAGCCCGGAGAGCGACGGAGATTGGCTGCGATGCGAAAGACGGGCAGGGCCGGCGGCCAATCGTAGGGGCCGTGCGCCCTGGACAAGACTTGGAGCAAACGAGGTGCAGAGTTTGGCCGTGAGCGCGGTGGCCGGAGGTGGCCTCGGGGGTCACGCGCAGGGTCCTCTGAGGCTATGGCGAAGTCAGACACTCGGGCCACCCAACGCAGAAGCAGGACCTCCAACTTGGGCCCTGAGCTTGGCCATCACGGCTGAAGGACTCGTGGATAATTCTTCATCTCCTCACTACCCGCTGTTCCCCTGCAAATGATACGGAGAGGGCAGAGACTCGCTGGAGGTCACTCAGCTGCAGCTCCGGGTAGTGCGAAGACGTGGAGATAGGTGGAATCCTACTCACGCACTTTGTGATTTTCTGGAAATGTTTGACTTAGAGTTCAAGCTTTCTCCTCCACAGGATCAAATGACCTCCCTGTCGGAACCACCTGCCTGCTAAGCCTTTGGTGAATTAACCGAATCCTAACCACAAGCCCATGAGGTCAAAGAGACCACTGGCCCCACTTTACAGAAATCAGAGCACAGAGAGGTCAAGTTCCTTGCCCCTGGTCACACTGCAGTTCAGCAG